ATTTTGGCCCATAAAGTTTTAAAATTTGTTCTAATTGATCCTCTAAAGTATTGAATTAATTTATGATGGTCCATAAAGTTTCAAATTTATTAATTTCAACCCCTAAAGTTAGGAATTAATTAATTTTTGCCCCCTTAAAGTTTTGAATTATTAATCCTAAGGCCCCTAAAGTTTAAAACTAATCAAAATATGCAAAACTGGTAATTCTCTTTCTCAAATTTTGGTACTAAGAGATATAAAATTCGAAAGTTAGTTAATTGAAGCAACATGTTGCCAAAGCAACATCTCTTGTGAAAATTGACTAATTTAGAATGTTAAAAAGTGTTTGTGCATGTGTTATTTATGGAAATATTGGTCGGCCCAAAGGAAGGTCAATATTTAGCCGAATACACGTGCACCTGTAGTGATAAACGCGTGACGATTATTTGGTTTAATGTGTGATCAATAAATCGGTCCAAAGAAAGATTTATTGATTGACACGTTGTTTTATCGTCAATGTTTGATCACTACGCCAAAAATACCGCTTACAAGTCAATATCTCTGTCCAAAGACTGGATATTGATGTTGTGCTTGGTATCTTGTGATGGGCCCTACAACTATTTGAGATTATTATTATTTGCATATTAAAAATATTCATGTGAGCTATTCATAATAAATGTTCTCTAATTCAGTTTCAGGTTCTGCTGCTAATATCTCTGCTAGCATCAATTCAATTCCAATGTTAAATAGCACAAACTTCAGGGCATGGCAAGAGAATGTTATCATTGTTCTAGGAATTATGGACCTAGACCTTGCTTTACGGGTCGGTCAACCTACTGCACTTACTGATAAGAGTACCTCTGATGACAAGAGGGAAATGGAAAAGTGGGAACGATAGAACCGCATAAACTTAATGGTCATGAAGCGTGCTATTCCAGAAGCATTCTGAGGCATTATGTCCGATAAGGTGACTATGGCTAAGGGTTTCCTTGAGGACCTTGAAAAGAGGTTTGCCAAAAATGAAAAGGCTGAAACAAGTACACTTTTGGCAAATCTTGTCTCAATGAGGTACAAAGGGAAAGGAAACATTCGGGAGTACATTATGGAAATGTCTCACATTGCTTCAAAACTAAAGGCACTCAAGTTAGATTTATCTGAAGACTTGTTGGTGCACTTGGTTCTGATATCCCTTCCGGCACATTTCAATCAATTCAAGGTAAGTTACAACTGTTAAAAGGACTCATGGTCCCTTAATGAGTTCATCTCACACTGTGTCTAGGAAGAGGAAAGACTGAAGCATGAGAAAACAGAAAGTACTCATTTAGCCACCACCTCTAAGGACAAAAGCAACAAGAAAATGAAGATTAATAAGGAAGCTGCGGGTACGGCACCGCAAAAGAAATAGCGTAAGGAACCAACTGAAGGTGGTTGTTTCTTCTGTGGAGCTGCAGGTCATAAGAAGAAGAATTGCACCAATTACCACGCATGGCGTGTAAAGAAAGGTACTTTTCTTCATTTGGTTTGTTCTGAGGTTAATTTAACTTCGGTACCTACACATACATGGTGGATAGATTTTGGTGCAACAACTCACATCAGTATGTCTATGCAGGGTTGCCTGAGTTGTCGAAAACCAAGTGATGGTGAAAAATACATATATGCTGGTGACGGCAAAAGAATGGAAGTAGAGGCAATAGGAAAATTTAGATTATTGTCAAAGACTAGATTTTATTTAGATCTTGTTGAGACATTTATTGTACCGTCTTTTAGACGGAATTTGATTTCTATTTCTGTTTTGGACAAATTTGGTTATACTTGTTCTTTTAGAAATGGAAAATTTAGTTTGTTTCATGATTCAAAATTGGTTGGTTCCGGTTCTTTATCAGGTTATGATAATCTTTATTCAATTGATACAATTGCTTCTTATAATGAAACCTTGCATGTAAGTACTCGAGGTGTAAAGCGAAAATTAAACGACGAGAATTCTACCTCATTGTGGCACAAGAGATTAGATCACATTTCCAAAAAGAGAATTGAGAGACTTGTGTCTGACGAGATTCTCGACCCTCTTGACTTCACAGATTATGATTTGTGTGTCAACTGTATAAAGGGAAAACAAACCAATAAAAGGAGATTTCAAGCCAATAGGACTTCAGACGTCTTAGAACTTATACATACGGATATTTGTGGACCATTCCCTACGAGTTCTTGGAATGGTCAACAATATTTTATAACGTTCATAGACGACTTTTCAAGATATGGCTACATATATCCCATTCATGAAAAATCACAGTCACCGGATGTGTTCAAAAATTATAAAGTTGAAGTTGAGAACCAACTCAGTAAAAGGATTAAAAGCGTCAGATCTGACCGTGGGGGTGAATACTATGGTCGATATGATGGTTCAGGTGAACAGCGTCCAGGACTGTTTGCTAAATTCCTAGAGGAATGCGGTATCGTCCCACAGTACAATATGCCGGGTTCGCCCACTATGAATGGTGTTGCTGAAAGACGAAACAGAATGCTTAAGGACATGGTGAGGAGTATGATTAGTCATTCTACCTTACCAAAATCTCTCTGGGGTGAAGCATTAAAAACTGCAGCTTATATACTCAACAGAGTTCCAACTAAGGCCACTGATAAAACCCCATATGAGCCTTGGACGGGCAAGAAGCCTAGTTTGAAATATATACATATTTGGGGGTGTCCAGCTGAGGCAAGGCCCTATAAGCCAAATGAAAAGAAATTGAACGCAAGAACCATCAGTTGCTATTTCATTGGATATTCTGAAAGGTCCAAGGGTTACAAATTTTATGATCCCACAACTAAGGCAATTTTCGAGATAGGAAATGTTAGGTTCTTTGATGATGTTGAGTTTGCGGGGGGAGAAAAGGTTACAGGCTTTGTCTTTGAGGAGGAATATGTTGAAATTCCTCCAATTGCCATTGACAATGATCAAGTTTCTATCCCTGATATTGTTCAAGAAGCAACTCTGGATCAAGACAATGTCATACCTCCCTCTCAAGATCAACAAATTGTTCCAAAAGAACAAACTCTATAGCCTTAAGAACCAATGCCATTAAGAAGATCCACTAGAGAGAGGAGAAGTGCGGTTTCGAATGATTACATCGTATTTCTTCAAGAACATGAAGTTGGCATTGGAACGGTGGAAGATGATCCGATCACCTTCCGCCAAGCCATGGAAAGTTCTAACTCTCAAAAGTGGCTCGATGCTATGATTGAAGAGATAAAGTCCATGAAGGACAATGACGTATGGGACCTCGTTCCATTGCCTGAAGGTGCGAAACCCATTGGTTGCAAATGGATATTTAAGACCAAGAGGGATTCGAAAGGTGATGTAGAGAGGTATAAGGCTCCTCTTGTCGCAAAGGGCTTTACATAGAAAGAAGGCATCGATTATAAAGAGATTTTCTCTTCGATTTCTTCGAAAAACTCTTTCAGGACTATAATAGCATTGGTAGCGCATTTCGATCTTGAGCTACATCAGATGGATGTTAAGACACCGTTTCTCAATGGTGACATTGATGAAATAATTTATATGGTACAACCAGAAAACTTTGTATCGGACGATGCAAAGCAAATGGTTTGTAAATTAAAGACAAAGCCTGTATTTCTTGATGATTTAACATGAAAGATCCGGTAATTTAAAGCACTAAATTATCCAACACTTGGGCAAAACAGATCTTTCAGGCTGATAACTTGCTTTCTTTGTGCCTCAAAAACATATTAAAACCATAATCTTGACCCCAATTTCCTTGCTCAATAGACAGACTAATAGGAAAGGAAAAAAAAAAATAGAGCTTGTAAGAGCCCTTCGGCTTCAAAGGCCACCAGCAATGATGCATGGAAACTCTCTGGACGGTAGCGTTTCGCTTTGGAAACTTTTTGAGAATCGAAACTCTTCAGAAACTCTCCAAAAACATTTCGAAAACCCAAAAAAGTTTCCTTTATTTTTTGATAAATTTTGGAAACTCTTATGGAAACTTTTAGTGAAAAATTCAGAATTTTTACCAAAAAAATAAAATAAAATAAAATAAAATAAATCATTGGCAAAATTTAACTTAATTATGGACTTTGGCTTAAAATTAACATAATTTATATGCTTTATTTACAATAACAAAAGCATTATTATTGTTTCGCTTTTATCAAAAGGCAAGTTACAAAAATACTCTAAAAATCATAGGTGCTTTGAAAAATCATATGAAATATTTTTTGAAAGTAAAAAATAATGTGTAAAATGAAAAAGTGACACATTGTCACTTTTTTTTATAAAAATTGTCACTTTTTTAAAGTGACACGAACTCAAAAAAAAAAAAAAAAAAAAAAAAAAAAGTGATACGAATGCTTAAAAAGTGACAAAATTCAAAAAAAATGACATAAACTCAAAAAAATGACAAACACAAATAGCATCATCCATTTGTGAGCACTAGTAATCATATTATTAACATAATCAGCATATCCAAAACAATCCACAAGAGCGTAGTGCGATTCTTAACATAATCAGCACGTGGATTGTTTTGAATGTGCTGATTATGTTAGGAAAATATAATATATCATGTCACTTTTTATCTTATTAAGTAAGTGACAAAAATTTAAAAGTTGGCGAAAACTCAAAAAAAAGTGACTAAACGTAAAAAAGTGATAATGTCACTTTTAGTGTCACATTTTTATTAAAAAATGACATACAATAACACTTTTATTAAAAAGTGATGTTTGCCACTAAAAAAATGTTATAGAAATTTCAAGAACGTGAATGATAAAAAAAGTGCCACACTAAAAAGAAGTGACAAAAATTCAAAAAATTGACAAATATTAAAAAAAAGCACAAAAATTTAAAAAATTGATAAAAATTCAAAAAAGTAATAAACATCGAAAAAGGTGACAAAACACTAATTAAAACTTTGGAATCAATTCAATAAAGTGACAACAACTCAAAAAAGAGATCAAAAAAAGTGACAAAACACCAATCAAAATCTATTTACTTGATTAACGAGATTTCTCTTTCAGATGACTGATCTTCCTTTCTTTGCTTCAAAAGTACGTCTTGGTTGAAATGGTGTTGAAGAGATATACCCACTTGGTCCTCTAAATGAATATGAGAGGTCTGTCAATATATTTCTGAAATCTTTAGATGTTGATTACGAGTTTTTGTGTTTAAAGTTAAGAAGAATATAACATTTTCTCCAGGATTTTGTTTTGACAGAGTTGGCTTGGAAAAGGCAAAGAAAGAGTTGGCTGGAAGCATTGAGAAGGGGGTTTCCTTTGTAGGAAAATAAAAATGCTACCGGCATATTTCATTGTCTTCCTAGTTTTCCATCTCGAGAAATCACCTTCTGGATTAAAGTGGAGTGGTCGTTGTGCCAATAGGGAGACTTTGTAAAACTGGGATCTTTCAGTAGCACCACGTTCTCTCTTGGTCAATTCAACTCGAAAACATTAAATTCATCTTCTTTAACCATGAATCTAACTATACGGGATAAAAAAATCGAAAGATTGAGCACAAATTTACCCAAAATCATTGTTATGGTGAATTCACATAGAATCGTAGAGAGAATTAGGGTTTCATATAGTAAACGATCAATGTCCCCCCCCCCCCAAGAAAGTTCAGTACTACAGGGACGTAAATTTCAAAAGTTTCAAATTTGGGACGTATGGAGCCTAATTTCTGTCGGCGTGAATTGAAGAAAGATTGAAGAATTATAGGAAATGGGATAGAAAGTTTTTTTTTCTCTTTACGCAGTGACTTGATTGTAGAAATAAGATTTGTATAGACTAGAATAGGACCTCTTCTCCTACATATAAATATGTAACACCTAGCTATAAATATATATATATATATATATATAAACAACTGAGTTTTTCATTCTCTGACATGGTATCAGAGCAACATCCTAGGCATTATCATACCATAAAACCATAAACCCGTTTTTTTCTTACCTCTCCAGTTATGTCAGACTCTGATGCAGAACAACAAACTGGTGCATCTCAGTCTGATTCTATCTTCACCGAATTGACAGCAAAAATGACTGAAGCTTTTACTAAGATCCAAATACCTGCCTTGACCACTAAACCTTCCGCTGCTCCGATTGGCATCAAGTTGGATGGTACCAACTTTGCCCTATGGTCCCAAGTTGTCGAGATGTATATCTCCGGCAAGGACAAGTTGGGATATATCAATGGAGACATTCCACAACCACCCTCAACGGATCCATCATTTCGCAAATGGCGCACAGACAGCGCTATTGTCAAAGGTTGGCTAATTAACTCCATAGATTCCTCATTAATAGGGAATTTTATATGGTTTCCTACGGCCAAATTGGTGTGGGACTCCATTGCTACCACTTACTTTGATGGAAGTGACACATCTCAGGTTTATGATCTGAAACGTCGTGTGACAAAACTTAAACAAGCTGGAGGATCTCTTGAGAAATACTACAATGATCTCCAAGGGTTATGGCGTGAGATAGATTTTCGACGTCCTAATCCTATGGAGTGTGCAAGTGATATTAAGAAGTATAATGCTATTCTTCAAGAAGATCGGGTCTATACTTTCTTGGATGGCCTTGACGACCAACTGGGTAAAATTCGAAGTGATGTGTTGCAGCTTTGCCCATTCCCCACCGTGGTGCAAGCTTATGCTCAAGTCCGTCGTAAAGCAATTCGTCAGGCTGTTATGATTTCTAGTAGTGAAGATTTTGTTCCTGGTGCTGTTCTTGCCTCCAAAGGACTTAGATTGGGTCCTTCTGACCAACCTACTACCTTGCATAATGGGAAACAGAAATATCGTACATCATCAGAGGGCTCAAAACACCTATTGTGGCAATCAAAGGCATACTCGTGAAAACTGCTTTAAATTGAACGGGTATCCAGATTGGTGGAAGGAACTCCAGGCTAAGAAACATCGTGACATGGAAAATAAAGATGAACATCCCAGTAAGGCAGCTGTGGTCACTGCAGAACCTCATTTATCCCTGACATCACAGGTTCCACCGGTCCCGTACTCAGGTAACTGTGGTTGTATCTGTTATAGTTCATCTAATGATACTAATCATGGTGTATGGCTGCTGGACTCTAGCGCCACTGACCATATGACGTTCTCCGGTAAGGATTTCACACACACTTCATTACCGAGACGAACAAATATTGCCAATGCTAACGGTGATCTCTCTCCTGTTACTGGTGCTGGAACTGTGACTTTATCTCCTACTTTACTGTTGCATAATACACTACTTGTTTCATCATTATGTCATAAGCTCATCTCTGTGAGTCAAGTAACATCTGATCTTAACTGTATGGTGCTAATGTACCCTGACTTTTGCCTGTTCCAGGACATTCTCACCAAGGAGATCATTGTACGTGGTACTAAGAGAGGGGGACTTTATTATATGGATGATTATAGTGTGGGTCGAGCACATTATACGCAGCATTCTCATGGAATCAAAGAAAAGGAAATCTGGCTTTGGCACCACCGATTAGGACATCCATCCTTCACATACATGAAACATTTGTTCCCAAATTTATTTACTCAGTTGACACATTTTAATTTTCAATGTAAAACTTGCATATTGGCAAAAAGGTCATAGGATGTCCTATCCCTTGAGCTTGAATAAAAAGAGTACTCCTTTTGCATTAATCCATTCTCATATGTCCTTTCCCAGTTACTACTGTATCTGGGTTCAAATGGTTCGAGTTATTTGTTGATGATTATACCCGCATAACTTGGCTTTATTTGCGAAAACATAAGGATGAAGTATTTGATATGTTTAAGGCATTTCATATTATGGTGCAAACACAATTTTCATCTAAGACTCAGGTTCTTCGATCGGACAATGGTGGTGAATATATCAATCACAAATTCCATGATTATTTTCAGCAACATGGCATCATTCATGAGACTTCATGCCCCCAGACTCCTCAAGAAAATGGCGTGGCTGAGCGAAAAAATAAACATGTCCTTGAAACTGCCCGTGCTCTCTTGATTGGTGCTATGCTCCTAATAGGTACTGGGCGGATGCGGTTACCATAGCGGTATATCTTATAAATCGAATGCCCTCTAAGGTGTTGGGTCTCCAAACACCATTACAGGCCATCTCTACATATACCACTGTACCAACAGTATTGATGCTTCTACCTCGTGTGTTTGGGTGCGTAGCTTATGTTCATCTCCATAAGAATCAACGGACTAAGCTTGATCCTTGTGCCCGTAAGTGCTTATTTTTGGGGTATGCAGTTCATCAAAAAGGCTATAGATGCTACGATCCCTCTTCTAATCGCACCTATGTTACCATGGATGTCACTTTTATGGAAAGCAAAACCTTTTTTCACCTAATTCTTATCTTCAGGGAGAGACTAGATAGGAAGAACCGAATTGGATGAAATTGGATTGGTTGGGCTTATCTGAATAACATGTCGAACCAATGCAATCAGAAGATGTGCCTCCGGCTACTCCTTCTCTTGAACACTGTGAAGCTGATCAGACTCCTTCGACTCTTGAACACCATGAAGCTGATCACGAAGCTGCAATCTTTCCCCTCTCTATAGTACCCGAAGACCCAACTCCTGAGAATGATCCTGAGGTAAACTCTTACAACACAAATATTACAGAATCTCCTAGTGGTTATATATTACCTTACAGGCACAATCGTGGCAAGCCTCCAAGCCGCTATTCACTAGATATTGAGGAAAGAAGATCAAGATATCCTATTGCCAATTATGTCTCCACAAAGGGATTGATTGAACCCCTCAAGACCTTTGTACATAACATTTCTATTTGTCATGTTCCAACAAGAGTAGAGGAAGCCTTGGAAGATCCAAAGTGGACTCAAGCAATCAAAGATGAAATGGAAGCATTAATGAAAAACAAGACATGGAGCCTAGTGCCATTACCAAAGGGAAAGAAAACAGTTAGTTGCAAATGGATGTTTTCTATCAAACACAAAGCTGACGAATCTATAGAAAGATACAAGGCAAGACTTGTGGCAAAAGGGTATACTCAAACATATGGTGTAGACTATCAAGAAACTTTCTCACGGGTAGCTAAGCTAAATACTATGAGAGTATTGTTATCTATTGCGGCGAACCTAGATTGGCCACTCCACCAGCTTGATGTGAAAAATGTCTTTCTTCACGGCAATCTCGAAGAAGAGGTTTATATGGACATCCCACCAGGATACTCACTGATCACTGGAACTAATGAGGTGTGCAAATTCCAGCGAGCCTTATATGGATTAAAGCAGTTGTCGCGAGCATGGTTTGGGAGATTTAGCTTGGCAATGAAGAAGTATGGTTTTCGACAAAGCAACATAGATCATACTCTATTTCTCAAAAATCGACAGGGCAAGATAACAGCTTTAATTGTCTATGTTGACGATATGATTATCACAGGAGATGATATTGAAGAAATATCACGACTTCAAAGGCGGTTGGCTAGTGAATTTGAAATGAAAAATTTAGGTAGACTCAAGTATTTTCTGGGATTAGAGGTTACCAGATCAAACCAATGCATCTTTCTATGCCAAAGAAAATATATTCTAGATTTATTATCTGAGGTTGGACTATTGGAGTGCAAACCAGTGGAGACCCCAATTGTACAGAATCACAAGCTCGGAATATATCCGGATCAGAAACCAACTGATAAGGGAAGATACCAACGATTAGTTGGAAAATTAATTTATCTCTTTCATACCCTTCTAGATATTGCATATGCCGTGAGTGTAGTGAGTCAATTTATGCGTTGTCCAAGTGAAGAACACATGGAGGCTGTAACTCGGATACTAAAGTACTTAAAGCCCTCTCCAGGGAAAGGACTCATGTTTTCTAAGAATGGCCATCTGGGAGCTGATGGTTATACAGATGCAGATTGGGCCGGGAACATCACGGACTGTAAGTCGACTTCAGGGTATTTCACATTTGTTGGTGAAAATCTTGTTACGTGGAGAAGTAAGAAACAAAAAGTGGTGGCACTCTCCAGTGCAGAAGCAAAATTTCGTGGGATGCCCAAGGGTTTGTGTGAGCTTCTTTGGTTGAAAAGATTGCTAGCTGAGATTACTTTTGCTCCCAAAATCGAAATGAACCTCTTTTGTGACAATAAAGCCGCCATAGATATTTCGCACAACCCAGTTCAACATGATCGAACGAAGCATGTAGAGGTAGATCGGCATTTCATCAAACATAACTTAGAGACTAAGACAATTCGGTTTCCATTTGTCAAGTCCGAGGACCAACTAGAAAATATACTTACCAAAGTTGTGTCAAACAAAGATTTCTACA